TCATTTGTTCACTTTTGAACATCGGCAAAAATCAAACATTTCCTGTACTTTGTGCTCCATTTCCAGGTTCTTTTTATAGTAAAATTAATCAAAATCACCTCCATTTCTATAATATAGTTTCCATTCTATCAAATGAGACCAAGAAAACGAGAATACAACCACAAATACTATACGAAAATAGACCACAAAGTCGGCATTTTAATTAAAAAAAACGGTCGGAGTTTTTTTTTTCTCATTATGCACTGCGTGCTCCAGGATTTTTTTTATGTGGTGCACACTGACCACACAGACCCATTCTCTCACATGTGGGCCTACTAGCTTTCTCCTGCCTGATTTGAAGCCGCTAGAATTTATGAGTATATATATGTCAAACACGGTACCTCGCAAACGTATATATACGGCCGCGACAGTCAAAGAGTTTATATAAGCCTTAACTCCAGTTGGAAAACAGTCATTCAACCATCTATTTAAAATGGATTTGCTGACCTAGGCCTTTGTATGAGACCTCTCAAAAAATTTATCTTTCCTTATAGGCTCATGGGAATTAAGGAAATGATGTACTCTACTAGCATTGATTTGATTTAACCATGAGCTTGGTATTTGCACAGAAGAGAAAAACATGTATGTAGCTGCCTTATAGCCAGTAGCAGGATTTTAGATGCTCTTTGAAACATCTTCCAAAACATGATGGCTTCTTTTACCATTAAAAGCCTGCTCTTGCAAGTATTCCTTATCCTCAACGATCTACTTTTGAGAGGTCATTTTTTGCTGCCAAGTGTACCTACTCTGTAGTGGCAGGAGCTTGTGTCTGTTTTTCAGTATTTAATTTATTGTAGAATTTTTTAAAGTTTCCAGACGTTGTAGCACTTACTACTATCTTCTGTAAAACATTCCATTGTTTGGCAGCTGTTCCATTATGGCAACTCCTTGGTGTATAGCTATGGTATATACAGCCTCCCCTCGCTTGTAGACGTACTCGTTTACCAATGACTCGGACTTACGACAGGCTCTCTGACCAGTATACATACCTAAATAATGTGTATTAAAGCTGATTTCCAGTATTCTGTTTATTACAATATACAGTACACTACTGTATAAACATTTAAAAATACAGTGGACCCCCGCTTAACGATCACCTCCAAATGCGACCAATTATGTAAGTGTATTTATGTAAGTGCGTTTGTACGTGTATGTTTGGGGGTCTGAAATGGACTAATCTACTTCACAATATTCCTTATGGGAAAAAATTCGGTCAGTACTGGCACCTGAACATACTACTGGAATGAAAAAAGTTCGTTAACCGGGGGTCCACTGTATACCAAAAATGTTATAAATGGTGCAAAAGCGACATTAAAACAATATCAGAGATGGTTGACACAAACCCACTACTATTATAGCATGCTCCTCGCATAGCGATGAATTTGTTTACTGACATGGTCTTAGGAACGGAACTCCGTCATTGAATGAGGAAAGGCTATACTGTGTTCTGCTGATACTGCCTCTCCCACCAACTAAAAATTTGCATCCTGTGCCTCTTAAACCTATCAAAACAACCCATACTTACAGCTAAGAACTATACACTACTAACTTCCCCACTAAAGTACAAGACACTTGTTTTCATATTCACTGTTTCACATATTCCATATTCCATTACTGCTTATACTCGCTAAGGCAAATTTTCATCATTAAAATATTGGTGGTATGAACTGCTGCTATACATTACACCTTAGCACTCTTTTAACTGTTGGCCTAAACACACTAATCTTGTTCTTCTGAACGTCCCGCACAGTTAACTCACTGAGCAAGCATGTTCAGTAACCTCACTATCATCCAGTTTCACCAAATTTTTCCTTTCCTCACTTTTGTGCTTACCAGGTCTCATGGTTCAATAATAAACAAAGGATAGCACAATAATGTAGAGATTGAAGGTGTTCACGTTTGTGAACACCTTCAATCTCTGATGATAATGATTGTGGTTGAGACAGAGAAGAAGTTATTTCATAATTTTCTTATTTTCTAGCAGAATACAGTAAGTCCTCAACTTAAAAATACATTGGGGACCTGCTAAATTGTGTATAATATTCATGATACAGGAAGTTTTCAACTTATGAACACAGAGACCTGTATTGTGTATAGTAATGATATACACAATAATTTAACCCATTGACTATCGGTGTCGTATATATACGTCCTATGAGCCAGTGTTTTTGACATATTAATACGCCAAAATTCTAGCGGCTTTAATTCAAGCGGGAGAAAACTGGTAGGCCCACATGTGAGAGAATGGGTCAGTGTGTGCAATATAAAAAAATCCTGCAGCATGCAGTGCATAATGAGAAAAAAAAACTCTGCCCATGTTTTTGGATTAAAATGCTGACTTTGAGGTGTATTTTCATATAGTATTCATGGTCGTATTCTCGTTTTCTTTGTCTCATTTGATAGCATGGAAGACATTGCAGAAATAGAGATGATTTCGATTGGTTTCATGATGGAAAGGGCCTTGAAATTGAGCTCAAAGTAGCGCAAATGTTTGATTTTTGCCGATGTTCAAGAGTAAACAAATGACATCACCGTCCAATAAGTGTCCAACTAGCCATTCTAATACGCAATCACGAATGGGTTGACATTATTTATACAATTATTACAATAATGCAGGAGTCTGCATAACAGTAAATCTGCTATTTTTTGTGTGAATAAAAATTCAAAATAGAAAGCAAGAGTAATATAAGAGGGGCCTGGAGATATGACTAATGAACAAAGAAAATGTTATTTTAGTGCCAGGAATGTCTGCATTGTTTATTCTGGATCCTATCTTGAAATTGGCATTTTTTTAATTTGCATGAAATTGGCCAAATCGCCAATTTTGGACCACTTTATTGGGTAGTTGAAATCAGTAAATGGGCAGTTTCTTGTACTCAGTCGATAGACCAAATGGAGTTCTAAGGAAATAGTTATGAGTTTGGTCGACTGGAACAATGGAATTGGCCAAAAATAGGGCTCAAAGTGGGTGAAATCACTGATGAGTATACGTATATTGTTAACTTTGTGAGAGTGTAATTCCGTGAGTTTTCCATCAAATTTCGTACTTTGGTGTCATTAGCATCGGAAAAGGATTCTCTATCATTTCATAAGATTTTTTTTTTTTAATATTTTGCAACACAGACACTTCAGGATTTGGGGTCTTGACAGTCAAAGGGTTAACAATGATATATGCACTACAGAAGATTCACAGCATGTTTGTAAGTCGAGGACTTACTGTACTAGAAAAATTAAGATGTATGCATCACATGTAGATGAGAATGGTGTATTGAGGGAGGATTTCTTATGATTTACCAAGACCTGTAATTCTGCATATCTTTAGTATGTAGAACAAATTGGTTTATTGCATATTCCCATCTTATTCAGTCATTCAGTTCAGAATGAGAGTAAAGTACTATCTTTCATAAAGTAATTTTGAGAGCTGCACTGTAGTAAGGGACAGGTATACTATTAATATATCTTCCTCATCACCCTAATGCAATGGCTTCATGTCTAGTTAGTACTTTCATATTATAGTTTGCTGGAGTTGCCTTCATTTGTGCTCACATAGGACATAAGAAAAAAATTTAGCAATAAGCAAAGCTTATGAATGCATTTATGTATGGTAACATTTTCTCACAAGTATAGAAATATATGCAAAACCCTTTTCACACACCGTTTGTAGATTAGTTGGCTTACACAACTACATTTTTACTTTTTTGTGTAACATTTGCTAATTACTGTATTATTTATTTTTATTAATACATCAGCCGCAAAATTTATGTAACTGCTTTAATCTCTTAATGCAATACAAACCTCTTGGCATATTTAGAGCCAGAGCTACAGGTAGATACACTGTCCAGTTACAGCTGTCACAGACTCCAGTGTTGTATCTGCTTTGGTCAAGTTGCAAATTTAAACTACAGAATGTAATAATTGAAAGCCAATAGAAAATGTATCCCTTCGAGGGATGCTTTAATTAATGCTGTCAAAGAGCTGTTGATCCAAGAAATTAGAGCTACCCTTCCTCTTCCTCAGATCAAATCTGATAAGCATTCATACTCTCTTTCCTCCTCTCCATTTTTTTCCATCCTCTTTTTGTCCATCCTTTCCATTATCTAGACGCTTCAAAACACTGGGTTTTCAACTTCCAAATGCCTATGAAAGTACAGTATTGCAAAATACGAGGCAGCTGCCAACTACTGGTTTTAGAGTACCAAAGCAGTACTTATTGGAAATATGTATGGTACAAAGGACATTTGTTAGTAAAATATGCAAAATAAAAAACCATTTGTTGATCTCCATTGTTGATTTTATAAGGTAGTCAGTGATAGGAAATTATCAGATTTGAATGCTTTTAAAAGTTCGTTTATAATATTTGTCTTAAAAGAGAATAAAAATTAGTTGGACAGTCATTTAAACTCTCTTGTCTAATTGATATCATCATGTATTATGCAGAGAAACATGGTATGTAGTCACTTTGGTTGTACAGTGCTCCCTACAAATTCACGTGGGCTACATTTCTAGATGTACCGTGAATACTGTACCACTAAATGCTGTCCATATCACAACTTTTGCACCCAATTTAGGCTCACATTGTGTTTCAAAAGCCATATCTTTAAATATTACTCTAATCATTAATACTTTAATTCTAAAAGAAAAAATCTCCATAGAGAAATCCAGTGAGCACGTTATCAACAAAATTCTGTTGTTGGTTTTGAATTTAAGGGTCATGTGCTGAACCCTAAGAAAATGGCTATCATAAAAATGTTAATTTTCAAAAGTATTCGCAAAAGACTTTATCGTTAAAACACTGAAGAATCAGATTCCTCGTATTTAAATTTTATACAGTGAATTTGTAGGGATAACTGTATACGTATAATGATATCACAGGCATTGATCTGGAGATATCCTCTAACAGCCAATATAAAAAATTCTTATACAAAGCAAAAGGTAAGGTGGAATATATTTTTCCTACTCAGATGGCAGCAGCAGGAAGTACTAGTAATGGTAGTGGTGGAGCTGAGGGTGGCGCAGGCACAGGAGGATCCTCAAGTGATGAGAGTGATAGTGACGATTCTGATGGCCGCCGTGGTGTTCAGTGCGCCACTCATTAGTCATCTTAGAGATAGCCAAAAATGAAAGTTTGTAATATGTATAATTAAGGACAGTGTTTACTTGGAATATTTTTCATAGCTCAATTTTCCATTTTGAGGGTTAATATAAAAGATTTATATGTATAGAATTCATTAGTAAAAATTTGTGTTGCTTAGCAGTGTTAAAAGCTACAACTCCTTGCTAGCGATAAATTCAAATAATATAACATCTTAAAATTATCATCAGCAAAGTTGCATTGACTTCCATGGAATAAAAAGAGAAAAATCTAATTTAGGAGCTATGTTATGAAAGTAGAAAAACAAATTTATGCTATAGAAAAAAGATTCATGTCAAGGTTTAATAATTTGTAACTATTATCACTTGTCATAAGTTTCTTCATTCATCAGAGAAATAATCTTATTTTTAATTAGTAATGTAGTGTACTCTTGAATTGCTTAAATTTGTATTCATCAAAATATAGCATGCAGGATTCCTTATTTTAATACAGATAAAATGCGATTTATGAAACCTATTTTATTTTCAATATTTATAATTTTTGTTAAGGGGATGGTCATTACTCACCTGTGTGAGATAGTGCAGTACACAACAGCATTAAAGAATATACAAGTATTATTGAATGCCTTTCTTAATTTCTAGGGTCTGTGAATTTATAATCTCTATGCGTGTCACTATATATTTGGAATAAATATAATAATTGAGAATTTTAAAATATGAAAAAAGCTAGGAAGTTACACATTTTTCAAGAGTTCAGTAACTTTTTTCAAGACATTTGTTGGCTAATTTTTTTCTTTTGATTTCAGTAAAAAAATAATTGTTCATAGTCTTAATAGTATATGTATTTCAAAATTGTGAAGTTTTGTGGGATTGCACTGATTAATATTTCATGACAGTGCACTTCATTGACCTTTCTATGAAGTGATACGAATCCATTTTTTCTTTTTAAAAATGAATGTACAGGAATGAAATGAAGGTTGCTGTCTGAAAGAAATAGCTCTTTCTAAGTTTATATTTAATAAGAGTAAATGCTTAGGAAATATTTTATGCTGTAAAACTACATAGAGCCAGTTAGTAACTATACGTCATGCCATGTTTGGAGATGTTAAACATTTTCAAGTGAAATGGTTTGTTCTATTGTTAGAAATAATTCTTAGGTTTAGATTAAAAATTTTACAGATATTAGGGGAAATCTTACAAGCCAATTCAATAATTTGTTAGTTTTATATAACATATGAAAGATCACAAACTTGAGGAAATCAATTTGAAAACCAGAAAACCTGTAGCTCCTTTGGTAATTCTCCATCTTTTATTTTAGAAAGCAAATGATTTTATGAATTTCACAGGTTCTTGAACATACACGTTCTGTGGCAGGGATTGGGATGGCCACTAAGAATAATTACCAGAGATTATTTTCTCACTTATTTTACCCAGAGTGACCATAACAGAGAAGACCCCAAAACTATTCTAACTGAACTTTGCCTTTTCTGTATTCCTTAAGCCCTCATTGGACCTATCCTCTATATACTACCCTAGTTTCTGTGCCATGAATATCTTGTGCATAGTTGAGGGAAAAGGCTTTAAATTTATATATTTGGTTTGGCTGTTGGCTGTATTTTGATAGGTATAACTTTATAGTTATACACTGTATTAAATCCTTACCACAGTACCTGTATACTTTCTTGCCTGTCCAGATTCTACAACTGGGGAAATTTCTTGCATTAGAGAGAATATATAGAATAGCATGCTGTCTTGTCTCAAATAGGTAATCAAGCATATGTAATTATAGTATTTATTAAGCCAATTATACATTTTCAGTATGCAGTTGTTGATGCTGATACGTCAGTTTCTTGTACACTTTATGCAGATCCTGGAGACATTGTTGTGCCTCGAGTCCAGAGCTAAGTTTGTGCATCTTTCTAAAAGATAATCTGTGTGCTTAGGTCTAGAGATCACAGATTAATACTGACTGTGATAATTCTTTTATTTCCTTGCTTATAGGGAATGTTTACATGTTGCTGATAGAGTACAACCTTGGTCCCATTTCTGCAATTTCTATGATTTTGACTGATATGAAAGTTAAATACACAAGCAGGAAAATCTATTCAGATTCACTTCAAGATTATATACCTCCCAATAGTCACACTAAACAATTTTTGGCATAATGCTAATGTTTTGGTAAGGTTTCCAGTTGCATTTGTGCATGTTAGTGTGCCTTCTTCCTTACTCCAGCTAATGTGGAGAAGTGTTATCAAAAACCTTGGAGGTGAGTTGGTTCCTGCAATTGTAGCATTGTTGTGGAAAGTTAAGTGCTTTTGTTTATGCTTAATGACTGATCATTGCACTTTTATTTTGAAGTGTGTATAATTATTTGTTACCATAGCTGATAATTTTTGTGGTATAACAGATTTCTTTAAGCTGTGGAACCTCAGAGTAAAGTAAAAAAAAAATGTGCTGTCCTAATGCTCATTCTTTTATGAGCACTGCATCATGGTTTTACTCAAAGGCATCTTGAAGATGTGATAAAACGAATTGTTTGATTTACAGGCTCTTGTATATTTTCTTCAGATGTTGGATTACAAGCAGCAGGGGCTATGAATTTTTTGTTCAAAGTTTGATTTATAACCATAATATGAGTTACTGTTTTTAGATGCTTTGGTATTTTTTTTCTATAGTTGAGCTGTATAATTCTGCTCATGTAAAAATATATTCAGTTGTGTAATTGTTTAGTACTTGCCTATTTTTAGTTATGAAGCTTTGAGTACCTGTACATGCATATAAGCATATTTAGTTCTCATGTTTAGCATTATATACATTGCAATACATTTAGGTTGTCTTAGTTACTGAATTTGCATATTGCTAAGATGTATGTTTGATTATCTGTGCAGCAGTGTGGTGAAATTATTAAAACATATTCTCTATATAATTAAATTGCATAATGTATTACCATCTGATATACTGGTAAATAAAATATAAATTATATTATTATAAGAGTATAGATCAACTATGGTTCTTTATTCCCCATCAGTTAACTTTGTTAATACAGCATTAAAATGTTTATGGTTAAAATGTTTATGGAACTCTGATATGTCAGAGGAAATTGCTTTTGGGGTGAAAAATATTGTAGAATCAGTTTTTTATATCAATTTAAATAGTGTTCTGATTGCATTCAAGTTTATTTTCATAAAGAATGTATAGAAAAAAGCTGATTTGGTCATGGGAAATCCAATGAGCATATATTGAAGAATTCTATAGTGGTCTTACCCCAAGTTTAAAAACAAAATGGACACAATGAAAAAACTTGTGAATAATCAAAGGTATTTATGAGATGCTCCTCAGCAAAAACATTGTATAATTCAATCTCATGAAAGATGAAGCTCATAAGTTTTTGGATGCAACTGATGTATACATTATGTATACAGTAGTTGGCCAGTAAGATATATAAACACATTACCACTTAAGATGTGCCAGAGTTTCAGTATCAGTGGGTATCTGCTAAATTTATAAACAAAATTAAGTGTTAAACCCACCAGGGTCATACAGCACTGCAGGGTAGGGTGTATGAACTGTGTAATACACTTCATCAGAAACTAGCAACGGCGGAGAGTATAACGGAGGTAGAGTTTGTAAGGGTGGTGAGGAGTGCTTAAGGGGGCTGTAGGGCAATTTGCCGCTCGCGCTCACCGAAAAATCGAAAAAATATGGATATTGAGTTATATATACTGAAAAAAAGCTCAACTCTTTGGCAACACAATGGTACCAGAATGAATGTTCTACGACGTTTCTACAAGAAATTATAGTCATTTATATCAGGTATGGTGACGGCGATGTTGGTACCGAGTCTGCTCACGGCCTATATATTTTTTGGAGTTATTTTCTTGTTTTTTATCGCCTTTTCTTGCATTATTCTTTCTAATATAATAACTGACTATTTGGCATCATAAAATAGTAGGCGGGACTTATCCCAAGACTTAGTGACTGCCGGGAACCAGATGGGAACGCTCGGCAGTGTTCCACCGCTCCAGGTGCCAGCCAGGAATCACCCATTATTACGCTTATATCAGCTTATATATCAACTTTACGGCTTATTTGTCTATCAGAATTGATCTAATATGATATAATAAACACTCTAAATAACATACAAACATGTTATATACTCTAGGCTGAATAAAATAGGCCATAATATGACGAAAGATTATCGGGAATATTTCCATAAATATTGAGCTACTCCTCTCCATGTCCCATTCTTTAGTCTCCGAGTAAGAGAAAACGGTGTTTTGAAGAGGATAACTGCACTAGAACATCAGTTTACTAAGAAATACACCCAAACAAACGCGATTTTCGCGAAAAAAATTTTTTTTTTTTGAGACGGGGGGCCGGCCGGCATTCCCGGCCGATATCTCGGAAGTAACTTATTCACCTAGGGCAACAAATAATTCCTTTATTACTTAATTAAATGGAATAATATTCTCAGACATTTTGTAGAATAATGATTTCTCTTATTTTGACTGTTGAGTTTTTGAAAATATTCCAAATACTTTGGGAGTTATGTGGGAGTAAAGGGCAGATTTTTTTGCAATATTCCAGAACTAACAAACTTTATTTTTTTGTGAAATAACGGTAAGGTATTTAGAGGAAATCTATTGGTCAAAATAAGTATTAGCATTGTACTCTCGGCACCAAGTGTCAAAACCACCTTACGTAGTCCCATATAAGAATGAAGTATTGCCCCAAGGGCAATTTCAGTAAATCAGTCTTTTCTCAGTTGTTGTTTGAGGTATATTTTTGATAAATATTTTCAAGAAAGAGTGAGAACACTTTGTCTTGTGTACCAAAACTGAACAAAATCGGACGGTAAATAAGCGAGTTAGGAAATTTGCCCCACGCCTCCTTAAGGAAGTATAATATAAGGTTGTATAATAAATCCACTCCTGTCAAAGAGGGAGTCTGTGTCAAAAGTGGGGCCATCAGCTAGGAGGGAAGATGCACTAAGGTAGGTAAAGAGTTGACAATGTCGGAAGTAAATTCTGCATGCTCGCTGATAGGACAGGACATTAGAACATGGCCAACTGAAATTGGAACCTGACAATTCGCATGGATTAGAACTGGGCACCTCTCCATGAGATACCCAGGAGTGAGACATGTGTACCTGATGTGAAGATGGGAAAGAGTAGTCTCCCAACCACAGCATCAATGATAAGAAGGCCAGGATCTTAAACTTTGCTTGATAGAATGTAATTTGTTATGAATCAACTCAGACCAACGATGTTGCCAATGGTTGTGAAGGTGGCTAGAGATTACAACAAAATAGTCTGAGAATGGAATACTCTATGGAGGGCCCCCGCTTATGCAGCAAGTTAGGTTCCAGGCTACTGCTGTAAAGTGAATCACAGCCTTTATTCACTTCAAAATGTATATAAAAGCCTGGTAACATGTTTACACTATCATATATTAAGTGAGTAATACAGCTTGGCCTAAAAAATGCATATACAGTACACACACTACTCTCCTTAAAATATTTTCATCCTTAGCTTATAGTGAATGGTGAATATATTCATAATAGGAAGTCTGAATAAATAATGGGTATAATTAAAAACCTCTGCATTAGTGAAACTGTAAAGTGGGGCCCTCCTGTATATGAAACTGGAAGGTCATGTACCACTGACTGTGCACCAGAGTCCACCTGCTCATTGCTCTGAACATCAACATGACCAGAAAACGATTTCTTTGTTTTTGCTAGAAATGTTGTACACGAAGAACCAGGGGATGAGGCGAATTAAATTTTTTGAGGTAGGCCTGGATGCAATACAAATAATTCTTATGAGAATTACATACAGTTCAGCTGTGAAAATGTTAGCTAAGTCTAATAAATGACCTCGCACAACACTGTCTGGGAGCACTGCCGCAAGCCTGACAACATCATAGGATTTAGAACCATCAGTGTAAACTGCAACCGCATAAGAATGAGAGTGGAAGTAGTTGAGAAAAAGGGAGTGAGAAGCAACTGTAGGTATTTGAGCTTTTGTGCATGGCAGTGGGGCAGAACAGACTCAAACTGTTGGAACCTCCCAGGGGGGAAAAGTTAGATGAACATATAAAGGGGTGAACTGATAAGAAGTCAAGAGCGAGTGAAGACGAAGAGAAAAAGTGGTGGTGAGCAAATAATGGACCTCCACTAATGTTTACTATCCCGTATGTAGAAGGATCGTAGTCACGAGAGCGGACAAAATGTCGATTGTTCAAGACTGGAACATTCACCTCTGCATATAGGCTCTCGACAGGTGAGTGAAAAGCACCTAGATATAAACATAATCTCTGGTGGTGGATAGGATCAAATTTAGAAAGTCGTGGGAGAGGCAGCAGAATATATCTGGTCGCCATAGTCTAGTTTTTATAAAATTAGGGCTGAATGCAGTCAAAGGAGAGTTCAACAACCCCCCCCCCCCCTATCCCACAAGAGGAGCAAGGGTTTTAAAGAGGTTCAGCCAGCTATGGCAAGTTGCTTTCTGGGAGGTACAGTGAGGTTTCCAGGACAGCTAGCAAACAAACAGAAGGCCAAGAAATTTAACTGTCATGTTCAGTGTTACAGGAGCCATACATATACAATAGAGTATGACAACAGAATGTCTGGTGAAAATAATGTGCATTTTAGCACCAGAAAATTTAACCCTTTGACTGTTTCAGGCCCCTTTCTGAAACTGTCATTCTATGTCGCTCAATGTTTGAAAAAAAAAAAAAAAAAAATTCTTATGAAATGATAGAGAATCTTTTCCCGATGGTAATGACACCAAAAGTTCGAAATTTGGTCGAAAACTCATGGAATTATGCTCCCGCGAAGTTAGCGGTCTCGGCGACATATGCGTATCGGCAATTTCGCCGACTTTGAGCCCTATTTTCAGCCAATTCCATTGTTCCAGTTGACCAAACTCATAGCTGTTTCTTTAGAACTCCATTTTATCTATCAGCTGAGTACAAGAAACCTCCCATTTACTAATTTGGACTACCCAATATGGTGGTCAGAAATTTGCAATTTGGCCAATTTCACGCAAACTAAAAAAGATGCCAATTTCAAAATAGAGTCCAGAATAAACAAGGTAGACATTCGTGGCACTAAAATAACATATGCTCTGTTCATTAGTCACATCTCTAGGCCCCTCTTATATTATTATTGCTTTCTATTTTGATTTTTTATTCATACAAAAAAATACAAAATTTACTGTTATGCAGACTACTGCATTATTGTAAAAATGGTATAAATAATATCAGTGCACTAGTGAAAGAATATTAGACTCCCCAGTTGACGTGTATTGGACGTGTGGTGTGATTTATTTACTCCTGAACATTGGTAAAAATCGAACATTTCCGTTACTTTGAGCTCAGTTTCAAGGTCATTTTCATCGTCAAAGTAATGAAAATCATCTCTATTTCTGTAATATGTTTTCCATTTTATCACCTAAGACCATGAAAATGCAAATACAGTGGACCCCCGCATAGCGACCTTAATCCGTGCAAGAGGGCTGGCTGTTATGCGAAATGTTCGCTATGTGAATGAATTTTCCCCATAAGAAATAATGGAAATCAAATTAATCCGTGCAAGACACCCAAAAGTTTGAAAAAAAAAATTTTACCACATGAAATATACATTTTCCTACACACAAAGAGAAGGATACATGCACAATAGTAGAGTAGTACATGCACAATATATATTGTGCATGTACTACTCTACTAAATGAAGAATAAATGACACTTACCTTTATTGAAGATGCAGCAATGACTGATGAGACAGTGTGTCCTGGGAGTGCCTTTTCCTCCTGAGTACTGTAGGTCCTGTTTGGTATTTTTTCCAGAACAGGCCTTATCACACTGTGTATGTCACTACGATTCTTAAATCTCTCAAACCAACCTTTGCTGGCTCTAAATTCACCAATATGAGCACTAGTTCCAGGCATTTTCCCTGTTCACCTGGGTGTTAGTCGACTGGTGTGGGTTGCATCCTGGGAGACAA